TGCTGGGCGGAAGAGGAAGTGAGGTCAGACTCTGCTCTGCTTCTGGAGAGACCCGACAGCTCTGCTCTCTGGAGCAGAGACGCCATGTTCAGCTCTCCCGGGTAGACTCGACAGCTCTGCTCTCTGGAGCAGAGATGCCAGGCTCCGCTCTCCCAGGCAACTCCAACCCAGGATGGATGGAGGTTAGAACCTTCCTGATAAGCGCACCTTGGGGTGCTTACACACATTATTAGAAATGGGTTAGAACAATTGTAAGAGCTAGCCAATAAGAAGCTAGAGTTCATGGGCCAAGCAGTTCTCAAATGAATACAGTTTGTGTGTTGTTATTTTGGGCATAAGCTAGCCAAGCGGCCAGGGTGTTGGGAACGCAGCCCCACCACCGCTCCTATTACAACATTGATTCAACCCATTTCTATTAATCTGTATATTGCCATGTGGCAGTGTCTTATCGGCAAAGATTCAGCATGTCTGACTCTGGCTGCTCCATAGTGTCTCTCGAATGCCACCCTTCTTTCTCCCAGCATTCAGTTCTGTCTTCCCTGCCTACCTAAGTTCTGCCCTATCAAAAGGCCCAAAGCAGTGTCTTTATTAACCAATAAAAGCAACACAAAGACAGAAGGGCCTCCTTATGGTATAGAAGGAGGAGAACGAGGAGGAGGAGGAGGAGGAAGAGGAGGAGGAGGAGGAAGAAGAAGAAGAAGGTAGCAGAGAATTAGAATTGGAATTAGAATTAAGATAGAGAATTAGAGCTAAGAAATTATAGGCAGTTTAGACAGAAGAATTAGAATAGAGAACAAGGAAGAGAGAACAATAAAGAGACATGATGGAAAGAATATGTTATGAGTAGACTTCTGAACCACCAGATTTTAGTTCCTTTCACTTATTATGGAGCCCTTCTTTTGTTTTTTGTTTGTTTATTTATTTATTATTTATTTATTAAAGATTCCTGCCTCCTCCAGGCCACCGCCTCCCATTTCCCTCCCCCTCCCCCAACCAAGTCCCCCTCCTTTGTCAACCTGAAGAGCAATCAGGGTTCCCTGCCCTGTGGGAAGTCCAAGGACCACCCACCTCCATCCAGGTCTAGTAAGGTGAGCATCCAAACAGACTAGGCTCCCACAAAGCCAATAGGTGCAGTAGGCTCAAAAACCCATTGCCATTGTTCTTGAGTTCTCAGTAGTCCTCATTGTTCCCTATGTTCAGCAAGTCCGATTTTATCCCAGGCTTTTTCAGACCCAGGCCAGCTGGCCTTGGTGAGTTCCCGATAGAACATCCCCATTGTCTCAGTGTATGGGTGCACCCCTCGCGGTCCTAAGTTCCTTGCTTGTGCTCTCTCTCCTTCTGCTCCTGATTTGGACCTTGAGATTTCAGTCCGGTGGAGCCCTTCTTTTGAACCCTGAGAGGAAACCCTAGAGGCTGGATCTTTAAAGTTTCTGATGTATACCACCAGGCATTGAAGAGACAATAGAGGAATATATTTTGTGTGTCTTTGACATGGAATTCTTGTCCTTCTGTCCCTATTATTCTTTGGTTCAGTCTTTTCATGGCGTCCCAGAGTTCCTGGATGTTTTGTGTTATGACGTTGCTGGCTTTTTTTTTTTTTTTTGACCAATGAACCTATTTTTTCTGTTGTCTCTTCAATGCCTGAGAGTCTCTCTTCCATCTCTTGTACTCTGTTGGTGATGTTTCCCCCTGTAGCTCCTGTTTATTTACCCAGATTTTCGATTTCCAGAATTCAGTGTGTGTGTTTTTTTATTGCCTCTATTTTAATTTTCAAGTCTTGAAGTGTTGCCTTCACCTGTTTGTTTTTTCTTGACTCTTTTCCTTTTTTTTTAAAAAAAGGATTTGTTAATTTCTTTCAATTTTTTGTCTTTTCTTTCATTTCTTTAAGGAATTTTTCATTTTCTCTTTAAGGGCATTTACCATCTTCATTAAAGTTATTTTAAGGTTATTTTCTTCTGTTTCTTCTGCATTGAGATGTTCAGGCTCTGCTGTTGTAGATCCACTGGGTTCTGGTGGTGCCACCTTGCTCTTTTTGTTGTAGAGTGTGTTCTTGCACTAGTGTCTACCCATCTCTTCCTCCAGTTAGTGCAGGTGGTGCCTGTGGCTCCAGGGTCAGCTCTTCATCCAATCTATTCTGGCAGTCTGTGCCTTCAGGGGCTACTCTTCAGGTAATTGGTGAAATTGGTGTCTGTGTCTCCGGGAGCCTCACTTCATGCAGTCAGTGCGGGAGGTGTGTGTGTCTCCAGGAGCTGCTCTTGTTCCAACCGGTGCCGGCGTCATCATCTGTTTCTCCAGGAGCCCCTGATGCCGTGGAGGATGGTTGGGGTTGGGGGGTGGAGTGGGACTTGTAGATTACAGGGTCAAATCTGGGGTGTTGTGTGGTGAGGTCTGCTCATAGGCACCTTGCCTGCTGACTTGATAGTGAGGCTGTAACAGCTCAGGAGAGGCTTAGAGCCTCGGGTTGGGGCTGACTAGGTGGGAGATCAGTCACTTACTACTTTGTACAATCATTTCAGGCAGCGCCTGTGTCTTTAGGAACCGCTGATGCTATAGGGATGGTTGGGACTGGGGGTGGAGTGGGACTTGTAGATTGGGTCCAGTGAGGGGTGGTGATGAGGAAGCCTGCCCCCAGGCACTTTGCTTGCTGACCAGCTAGTGAGACAGCGATCTAGATATATAAGTTGTTTTATAGCAGATACCTGGAAACATTTTTGCTCAAAGCGTTTATTTTTATTCTGGGCTCACCAAAGACAGGATGAAACTTTAGCATCTCCATCTCTAGTGTATCTGTGGGAAACTTGGAAAGTGCATAGACAAATCAGAGACTGCAATTTGCAACTGCCTTTTTTCAAAAAACACAGTTTTCACTTGGATTATTAAAACAACCTGAGCAACACTGGAGGAAATACCATTCCAGATCTTAAAGTATATTACGGAGCCATAGTAATGAAAACAATACGGCACTCTCACAAAAGCAGTCATGTAGGTCATCGAACACAATTTAAGACCCAAGCATGAATACATGATACTTTATATTAATGTTTGACAAAGATGCCAAAAACATAAACTGCAGAAAAGAAAGTATCTTCAACAGTGGTGCTTAGAAATTGGATGTCCACATGCAGAAGAATGAAATTAGACCTGTATCTATCCCCTTGCATAAAACTCACTCCAAATGCATCAAGCCCTCAACGCAAAACAGTGAAAGGATAGGGGGGACCCTACCTGATGCAGGCGTGGGAAAGGGCTTTCTGGAGAGGAGTCCACGCACTAGCATTAAGGCCAACGACTGACAAGTGGGACCTCATAACACTAAAAAGCTTTAGGACAGATAAAGGGACAGCCAATCAGGTGAAGTGGAAGCCCACAGAATGGTTGAGAATCCTTGTCAGCTGATCATCCACAGAGGCTTAATATCCTGAATATACAAGAGCCTAGCCCAGCTGTCATCAGAGGGACTTCATCCAGCAACTGATGAAAACAGATGCAGACCACAGCCAAACATGAGGCAGAGCTCGGAAATCCTGCAGAAAAAGGGGAGGTAGGATTGTAGGAGCCACAGGGGTCAAGAACACTGCAAGAAAACCCAGAGAATCAACTAACCTGGGCTCATAGGAGCTCACAGATCCTGAATGGACAGTAGGGAGCCTGCGTGGGACTGACCTAGGCCCTCTGCACACATGTGACACTTGTGTGGCTTGGTTCTCTTGTGGGACTCCTAACAGTAGGAACAGGGACTGTAACTATATTCACTAACTTTTGGGACCCTTTGGCTCCTTTGCCCAGCCTTACTACAAGGGGAGGAGCTTAGTCTTAACCGCAGCTTGATATTCCTTGTTTTGTTGATATCCACGGAATACCTGCCCTTTTCTGAAGGAAACACAGGAGGAGTGATGGGGCACAGAGGGGAAATGGGGGGATAAAACTGGGAGGAAAAGAGGGAGGAGAAACTGAGGTTAGGATGTAAAATAAATTAAATAAATAAATTTAAAATAAAAATTAAAAACCCTCCCAAAACAAAAAAACAAAACAAAACACCAAAACAATATAACCCATTTGAAAAATGGACCTAAGACCTGAGTAGAAAGTTCTCAAAAGAAGAAGAGAAAGAAAAAAAAATCCACCTAAGAAGTATCTCAGATCTGTTTATCATTCTTAGTAATCAGGGAAATACAAATCAAAAACTCTGAGATTTCACCTTACCCCAATCAGAAGGATAAGATAACAGGACAACCTACAACAAGAGCTGGAGGGGGATGAGGGAAAAGGGAGCATCTGTTCCCTGGTGCTGGGATTGCAAACTGGTGAAGCCACTCAGAAATCAGCATGGGAAATTCTCGAGAAGCTAAGAATATGGCCCAGCTATACCAGCCCTCAATGTATGACCACAACACTTGACATCCTACTCCACAGATCCTCACTCAGCCATGTCCAGTGCTGCTCTATTCTCAACGGCTGGGAAGTGGACACAACCCAAACGACCTAGGAGTGGCGCGTGGATGATGAAACATTGAGTGAGGTCAGCAAGACCTGCAAAGACGGACGCTGCGTGGTCTCCCTCATCTGAGGCTCCTAGCTCCAAATCTGCAGACATGAGTGCATGTCCAGACCCACAAAGATGGACGCTGCGTGTTCTCCCTCATCTGAGGCTCCGAGCTCCAAATCTGCAGACGTGAGTGCATGGTCCAGGGCAGCTGCAGATCCAGGAAAGGACGGGGGAGTCTGGGAGCAGGAGAGGGGGAGTGACAGGGTACAAGTGATCTGATGAGGGAGGTGGGAGGGGGGTTTCCCGGCAGCTGGAGCCAAGGAATGCCACAAAGTCACACTGCACAACAAACCTCACACGAGAGATCTGCTGGGAGGGAAAAAGCCAGGAGGGTGGTTGTCTCTGCTCAGGTGAGAAACAGCAGCAGACCGAACAGGGTGGAGCTTTCCAGGGTGGAGGTTGGCGGGATTTCACGTCCAGAGCTAGGGCTTTTTACTCTGTAGGGTGGGGCAGGGTCCAGCAGTCAGGGCAGTTAGTGTTCTGTGGGTGGAACCTGGCCGTTAGAGGTCCTTGCGGGAGTGGCCTGGCCATGTGGCTTGAGGAGCTTACACCCATTATGAGCTATTTGCCTAAAAAAGCTATAGTTCACGCAATTCTTTCTACAGACGTCAGGGGACTTAATCTCCTACATACTCATGTGTTCTAGTCTCTATTAACGTAAGCAATTAATGTCACAAAAGGCATAGGAGGAACAGTTTTAGCATTAAGTGCATACTCAACAAAAGTTCTTCTGTTCATCAGTGGGGAAACAATTTTAGTTCTCTCAGTGTCCGCTTATCATCTACAGGACGTAGATCGTAATGTATACATCTCAAGGTTGCTTTAAGGTACACATGAAGCAGCATTTTACAGAGTTTTCATGCAGTACAAGCATAAACAATTGACATATTAAGAGGATTCAGAGGGTTGTAAGTCCATAAGTCCATTTTCTTTTCATAGACACTTGCTAGAAGACTGAGGTCACTATCATGCAAAAGAAAACAAGAACTTAGCGGCTGCATAAGTTCAATCGAGTTTGCTTTAGTATTCATCCCATTCAAGCCCCACCCTTATGCTGTCTTAAGCTTTAAAGATACAGAAGAAATGAAGTTGACGGACACCGTAGCAGGTGACTGAAGAACGAACTTGTGGAAGAAAAGAAAATCAGGAAGAAGAAATGAATTCAGAGCCCTTTATTGGCAAGCAGAGACCGGAAGGAAACACGACAGACATCTGGGTCACGGAGTTCCATTCGGTTCCCGTCCCTAATAAAGAAATAAACAAAGCATCCCTCTAAACACATGGTTCAGAGTCACACGAAGAACAGACACTGGAGACTCTTTGTACAGTTCTCCACCTGGCGAACGCTGAGAAAAATAGGTTTTAAACTTTGATTTAAACGTGCATAGAAATTGGAAAAGGAAGTCTTATTTATTAGATACACTGATGTTATCAGCACAGTGTATCTGAATTAAAAACTTCAAGAAACACTAAATAGTTGTTTTATGACTTTCTCATGAGAGCACCAATTGTTTCTATCATATGTGCCAAGCTTCGACTGCTAGTTGTCCAATTATCTCATTAAATTTGTAACAATTATATCGAAATAACACAACTCAGCAATTATTCAGAAAGAGCACAACCTAGAAAAAAGTTCTTTCCAGGCACATTAGACAAGGCTCCCTAGGGGACAGAGCCACTAGAATGGTCTGCCCCGTAGGGACTGACTGCAGTCCAGTCCAATAATAGCTGGGCGCATGCGGCAGAGGCTGAGAACATACCGATACTCATTCCTTGAGGCTGACTTCTCAGCAGTCGAAAAGTTTGTACGAAAGGCCTGGAGGGTCCCTGGAGGTCCACTTGTCCTCTGTGTCCGCTGTCCATGTCCTCTCTCCTTGCCTATGTCAGGATTCTAAAGCAGCCATGCAAAGGTGGCGGCGGCAGCAGCCACAACCACAGAAATAACAGACATAGATGCAATATGGGATCCAGGCAGGCAAAGTGCTCCCTTTCCTCAGACCCCTTTATGTCCGGGCTACATGTTAAAAGGTTCTGTCCTCTCTGAGGGATGACCTCCCCTCAGCTAATCCCTTCTGGAAATGCTTTCACGCCTCTGCCCAGACATACGCGTCTTAGCTGATTCTAGCTTCTATTTGCATTGACAGTCGAGATTAGCCTCAACACTGGCTCCCTAGAACAGAATAGGTTCCTGTAATATTCTTTACTGGACAATAATTCATGTCACCAAGGCAAGAAATTGTGTGGTTCTGAACTTTATATTGAAAGTGAGGGAAAACTAGTCCCTGTTTCTGAACATGATGCTCAGTTATTTCCATCTTGAGCATCTCCCTCCGTGTCCTTTATTCTTAGTTATTTGGAAAAAGGCAGGGCGCAGATTAGCATTGTCTTAGGGTAACTGCTCTTCCTATGACTCTATGAAGAGCTGATTTGAATTCTTTGTTTCTTAAGCTGTAGACAACTGGGTTGAACAGTGGCGTCAGGATAGTGTAGGACACCGATATCAGAGCATCCTGGCTTGAAGAGTAGTTGGACTTGGGCCGTAGGTAGATAAAAGAGGCGCACCCGTAGTGGACTACGACCACAATGAGGTGAGACGCACAGGTGGAAAATGCTTTGTACCTCCCTAGTGTGGAAGGAAATTGGAGGATGGCAGAAATGATATGAATGTATGAGGCCCAGATCAATAACAGAGGGATAACCAGGACCAGCGCGCAGAGCACGAAGATGGTGATCTGCGTAAAGTGGGCGTGGTGGCACGCCGACTTGAGAACAGGGGAGACGTCACAGAAAAAGTGATGGAGTTGGTTGGAAGCCTGGAAGGGCAGGTGAAACACCAAGGCTGTGATAACCTGTGCCACAGTGAAGCCGCAGACACAGGCAGCGGCTACCAGCCCCACACACACCCTGTGCCCCATGAGCACCGTGTAGCGTAGAGGGTGGCAAATGGCCACGTAGCGATCATAGCCCATGGCTGCCAGCAGGAAGGAGTGGGAACAGCCAAGGAAGAGGAAGGCGAACATTTGGATGGCACAGCCGAGGAACGAGATGCTCTTCTTCCGAGCCAGCAAGTCAACCAGCATCTTGGGCACAATGACAAAGGTGTAGCAGGTCTCTGAACAGGAGAGGACGGAGAGGAAGAAGTACATGGGGGTGTGAAGGGCTCTGTCTAGCGCGGTGGTGGAGATAATCACGGCATTGGTGCTGAGGGTGAACAAATAGAGGAGCAGGAAGACAACGAAGAGCAGCAGCTGCAGCTCAGCCAGAGTTGAGAAGCCGAGGAAGACAAACTCCTTCACCACAGTCCCGTTCACACACTCCATGGAGGGCCTATCGGAGTTCAGTCTGCGCAGGGAGAGATGAGGACCTATCAGAGTTCAGTTCAGGGTTCAGGGTTGAGGACCTATCAGATCAGAGTTCAGTTCGGGCAGGAGGGGATGAGGACCTATCAGAGTTCAGTCTGCTCGGGACGGAATTAAGACCTATCAGAATTCAGTCTGCGCAGGAAGGGGTTGAGGATCTAGCAGTGGGGGATTAGGGCCTGTCAGATCAGAGTTCACTCTAAGGGAGGGAGGGGAGGGCGGGGGGGTGGTGGTGGTGGTGGCGGGGGATGAGGACGTCTCAGAGTTCAGTCGGGCAGGGGGGCAGGGAAGGGGTTTAGGACCTGTCAAGAGTTCAGTCCGGGCAGGGAGAGGGTGAGGGAAGTCCTTACACATTAGCAGAAGCACAGGAGGAGGAAAGAGACACTGTATGTGCTCCCAGGTTTTACTTCTAAGGTTGTCATTTCTCTTCCTGTTGATCCTCGTAATGAAGATTTGAAGTCAAGCTGTTGTCTATCAGCTTTGGCGTCACAGTAGCTCTGGTAACACAGCCCCCGAGTTCCTAAGCTTCGCACTGAATTGTACTTTTAGCTTCATTCCACGGTTTGTGTTTGGATGCTTGGGCATGGCAGCACCCATCCCTTTGGCTAACTTGCACCCACACTCTTTGAAGGAAATCTTCAACAGCTACGAAACTAGCTCCCGAGATCGCCGAGATGGCCGTCCTTGTCTAGGGCTCATGCAGTGCTCACTGGCTTTCCATTTTCTGTGCATCTAAATTCCTACTGCTGGCTTTAATTTTCCAGTAACATGTAGCTGCATATTCTCTGTTGTGTTTGCCTTGTTATTTTATTGTAAGAGCCGTAAATTCTGCCATCTGCTACTTTCATCACGGTGATCATTTTTTTCCTGCATTTTTATTCTGCTCTAAAGTAAAATTCAGGCACATCGTTCCTTCTCTCTATCCATTCCAAGACAGCATATTCTACCCACACTTCATTGCTTGTCCGAATCTCTTCTTCAGCGAGAACCACAGGCTTTGGAGAGGGTTCTGGTCAAACTTTTACCACGTCCCCCCACCACCTCTAAGTCACTCTGTGACTGTCTTTCCTGTGTGTCTTCACCACTTTGTCCCCCTGATGGCAGATTAATCTTCTTGTATAGAAGATAATATAAATATAAAATTAAAATATAAGAAAATGTTATGCTACTCCCCTCATAAAAATTTTATTCCTGGTTACTGCATAGTTCAAAATCCTTACACACTTCAAAGTGTTTCTTTTGAGAAGGCAAAAGCTCAGCTACCACACTGTTCTGAAGACGTGTACCTCACATGGCCGGAAAGAGGAGCGCTGTGCTTTCTTGCCTCTATTATTTGTTGAAGTTAGCACATTTATATTTTTATTTATAAGTGCTTTATAGTTAGGCTTCATTCAAATCACATATTCATGAAAAATTTTTGGTAATTTCTGATAAAAGTAGTTGTTTCTTCCTTAGACTCATGTAAGGCATTGAATGAAAAACTTATATGACATTCCCTTAATTCTGAAACATTGCGTTGCTTTGCTTTCATATTGCTTCAATACATTTGTCCCCTTGAGAGAAAGATGTGAATCTGATAAATATTGAACTCAATTTTCCTGCATGTCTGGGACCACATTAAGCACTTAAGAGCTTCTCGTAATCCATTAACTATTCTGCAAGGCTTGGCTGTTGTCATTGGCCTCAGTTCTGGGTGGGCTTTTACCTAGAGTTGCAGCGTCCTCAGGGCTATTTCTTCTTGAGCGGAAGGATTGCTTACTATCATCATATTGTAAGGATTTCTGTGCCACGTGGTCTAGATGTCATCCATGCAAACCTTAAAGACAAATGTAGTTTAAAAATTAGAAAAGTTGGGTGGTGGTGGCGCACACCTTTAATCCCAGCACTCGGGAGGCAGAGGCAGGCGGATCTCTATGAGTTCGAGGCCAGCCTGGTCTACAGAGTGAATTACAGGACAGCTATGGTACACAGAGAAACCCTGTCTTGAAAAAAAGGAAAAAAGAAAAACCAAAACCTCCAAACCAACCAAACAAAAAACCACAAACAATAAAAATTAGGAAAAATAGGGACTGGAGAGATGGCGCATGGTTAAGAGCACAGGGTGCTCTTCTAGTGGACCTGGGTTCAATTCCCAGCACGCAGATGGCAGCTCACAACTGTCTGCAATGCAGCTCAAAGTGATTTGGCACCCTCACACAGACATAAATGCTGGCAAAACAACAATGCACATAAAATAAAAAGAAATAAATCATTTTAAAAACGAGGAAAAATAACGGAAGAGAATGAGTTTGGAGTTGTGTCGCCTAGAGTTTTCTAAGCTTCAGTGTCCTTGCTGCTCTCTGGAGCATAGGAATCTAAGGACGTGAGGAAGGTACAATGAATATATCACTGTATGCATCACATTGAAAAACAATTAAAGTTATTGCTTTAACTAATGCTAATAATAAAAGGTTTTGCAATGCAGTCTACCTTAGGCGAGGTTTCAATAGAAGCCATCAAACAGAAATACTAAGCTGTGTGATTACACTAATTTTTCAGGCACTAAATGTGCCCTAATAATAAATACAGGAATAGGCCCCAGTCAAGACATCTATTTGCTCAGGGTTCAAAGGTGAGACATGGTCCATAGAAGAGGTCATCCCTGAGGTCACCGCTAAGGTCGTGATGCTGAGAAGCACTGTGCACATTCTTGGCAAACAATGCTTTTAACTTGTATCTGATTTTTAAAATCTGCTATATGACCAAAGCACCTTGGGCACAACATCCATGAAACTGGACACTATTTAGTGCTTATAATTTTAATCCAAGCAGACAAATAGTTCTGGTGAACCCTACGGCTTCTTGTTTCTGGAGGAGCGCTGTCTTGTTTCTGATGTGTTTTGTTTTTAACGTTGTTCTTAGCCCTCCTCAGACTGGGAAGGGACAGATATCTTCTTCCCCACGGTAACGCCTGGTTACTTGCCCAAAGCCTCACATGAGGCATCTACTGACCGATAGTTTGGTAAATCTATTCTCAGTTCTAAGTTCAGTTTTTAAATTCTCAGCCTCCTAGTGAATTTCTACATGCCCTCATGTGAAGTTAGGAAGCATAGGAATGAGATGTGCTTTGAGTTCAGGCAGATTGAGTTCAGGTGATAATCTTTACTTTTGACTCTGACTTGTTGCATGCAAATTCTGTAACTCTGATTCTTTTTTTACTGTTCTGCTGAAGTGAAAATTCCTGTTTCTCAAGGCTAGTGGAGGTTAATAGAGATCACATACACATACATGTGCTCACACACACACACACACACACACGCACACACACGCACACACACACGATGCTAATTCTATAAACAGAGAATTATTAAGGACCTATATTTAAAGTGAACTCATATGGGTGAGTTCTGTGGCACACACCTATAATCCAAGCACACAGTGCGATGGGGAGGCTGAGGCAGAGGATCATGGCAAGTTCCCAGCCATAGTGAGCACCATAGGAGCACAACATAGGAGCAGCAAGTGACACCCTGTCTCTCATTAGGTTCTTGCTAGCTGCACTTAAATCTGCTTCCCAGGTGCTCCTGCTCTGCATTGTGGAAAGGCAAGCACTCCCCCCAGCCATGAGCATCCTTTGTCTACTCAGAGTCACACATGCAGGTTTCCTGTGTGTTTTTCAACATGTGACAGCCATGAAAGGAGGTTCCCAGTGTTTCTATTTGGAGGACAGCAAATGGAGATAAAGACCGACGATCAAATTACAGATGATCCTCAGCATATGTGCATAACAAATTAGAGGATTCTCATCATAGAACTACTCATCATTATTAAACACATATCTTAACTTATGTCTTCAGCATTTTGTATGGAGCCTCTAAAGACTGGAGCAAATTGTCTAATAGCTATGGTAGTTTATTATTACCTGATCTATCATGTATTATAGATATAAATATTAATTAAATTGACATTCCTTTCTCAGATGAAAGAGAGTACAACTATAAATATTCAAGGCAGGGTATTATAAACATTTAGAAAGGTATTTCAAGTCAAAACTCCCTGAAATATCTTGAGGATTCAATAAGTAGTTTCATAACTGGCGCTAAGCATGTCGACATTTTGATTGAGCTATTGGCTATTTCTGTATGAACTCGTCATCGGAATTCAAAAGGACTCTAATGTGTTCCTGTGTACACACGGGAACAGCTCATTTACTGGAGAGAAATAGATTGATACAGGCCTGCGAGATGAGAGACAACTTTCTCCCCAATTTTTTTTCTATTTCCTTACAATAAACCTCACGCTGAGGTCATGAAGCCACAGCAAACGTCAATACTGCATTTTAGGACTTGCTAACGGTGTTACTTCCATCATAAAAGCGAAGCTGTGTGACGTGACATTTATCTATATTAACTACTTCACAGTGTGTGCATTCTTCAAGCTATCATTTTTGTACGTAATGAATACAATTTTAGCTGTCAGCTCACAAAATAAGTAAAGGTGAGTGATGTGGGACACTCCTCATGTTCACAACACTGGGAGACGGAGGCAGAATGACAGCTTCAAGTTCAAAGCCATCCAGAGCTGCATTGTGAGACCATGTCTCAACAAAGAAAGAAAAAAGGGAGACAGACTAGCAAACAAGTGAGCAACAACAATAAAACCTCAAAATATGAGTTCAATCTCTGCAAACATCACCTCAAGGCTACCAACTGATCAATACTGTTTGTGATATTTCCAGAAAGAAAAACAATAGTGTTCATAATAGTGTTCCGTTTTACTATCATTTTCTTTTCTTTTCCTTTCTTTTCTTTTCTTCCCTCCCTCCCTCCCTCCCTCTCTCCCTCCCTCCCTTCTCTCTCTCTCTCTCTTTCTTTCTGTCTGTCTCTTCCTCTGTCTGTCTCTCTTTCTTTCCCTTTTTTGTTTGTTTGTTTGTGTTTTGAGAGAGGGTCTCTTTGAGTAGCCCTGACTGTCCTGGAACTCATTCTGTAGACCAGG